GCCGGCAGGAAAGGTAGTTATTTTACGGATAATGCCTGTTATCTCGGTAACGGAAAAGACCTGACAAGTGATATTTTCGAATTAGTTATGTCCTTATGCTAATAAGTAACTTGCAAAAAAGATTTTTCCTCAACTCGTCTGCAAAAAATCTCCAGCCAAATCTATTTCGACTTCATATGAACAATGGCAATTTTTGCCACTATAAAATAGTAGACTAAAATCAAATACGTTGACTTCACATCGAAAACAGCAGGTTTTAGCTTGTTTATTAACAAGAACTGCTGTACTGTTATGACGATGATGTGGTTTATTTCAGCACAATAACGAAATTCTCCACCTATATTATATATTAATATTACAGGATTTTTAGTTCCGCGAGTACAATTAATAACATGACCATAACGATTACATTATCGCAAAATCGACTTTTTATACGCTGAACAGAATCGGTCGAAATTTTTTTTCTGGAAAGCTTATTGAATGAATGTACAGGCAGCAAAGTATATCTTTATTCAAATCACTTTTCTCATTTTGGCTCGAACAGTGACGCGCAATATCAACATTAATGTTCAAATTTCTGTTGCTAATTATTATCTGAGCAGTTTTCGTTTGTTGTTTTTTGTGAAACAACTCAGTCAGGATAGGTATGAATCCACAGTTATTGTTTAAGGGTACCGCTCCTCTTTTTGTAAAAAACTCGGATTTTGAGCTGAGCATAGCCTAATGTAGAGGAAAGTGTGGGCCACAAAATCAGACTACTCCCAGTACTCCACGATCTTTTTCAAAAAGTTATGGATTTCTGAAGTTTTTCCTTCGAAACCTAAAAAGACTCAATTTTTTAGTTTGATAAAAGTTTCTCTCATTTTCTGTACATGCAAAAGTTGTCTTGTACATAGTCTGATTGAAGAAAGTGTTTTCTTCACAATGAGACGTTTTACAGAATTTTCCGATGAGCTTTCGTGGCGATATAAGCATCGCGGTAAATGCTCTGAATAAAGTGGCCGGTGTACAAAATGCGTTTTTTGTCGAAAACTATTTTTTTGCTACCAGGCTTCATTGTGCCACATTACAACCCACCTTAAATTTCGTCCGATCGACTTCAAAATTTTGCTAGAGGTACTCACGCCACTATTGCAGAGGTAGTTTTTGGAATTTTATTTTAGACTTTTCTTTATCGACTTATAGGGTTTCCAGAATTGAAAAACTTGGATTTTGAGACGTTTTTCAGTATTTTCCCCCTAACTACCAGAAAAAGTCTCGAAAGAATTTCCCCAAGACTGCCTCTGCGGAATGACGTTCGGTACCTCTGGTAACATTGTGAACTCGATCGGACGAAATTTTAGGGGGGATCATAATGTGGCACAATGAAAAACCGAGTTTTCTGATACACTGATGAAAGGCAATAGTTGAAAACTTTTAACAAAAACGAAAAAGTGCTCCATTGAGTTTTGCAATCAGTTCTAACAATAGGAAGCCTTAGCGACTTTTAGTTTTTATTTCACAGCATTTCTACGAAAAGCCCAAAAAGACGGGAGCGGTACCCTTAAGCAACATAGATTATTACCATAATGTTATATTAAGTGTATTTGACGATCCAGAACAGTTACCCATGATTTTCGAAGTAGATCAATATCCGTACTTCTACAGATATACCAGAGACGTAACCGGTACTGGCAACCGGCTGGTCTGGCCCGTCCGGTCACAAACGTTTGACCGGCAGCTCGAAAGAAAATTAGTTTGACCGACCGGCCGAGAAAAAAAACGTTTTTTGGTCTGAAAAATCAGTACTCTGTCGAAAACGAATTTGCTGAACTAAGTAAAACAAAGATTTTCATATGTCAGATTAAGCAAGTTAGTTTGGTTTTCTCTTTTTTGTCAACACTCTTCGAGAGTCGGACTACCGAATGTGAATCTTCCGTTCGTTTTTTCTGTTTTTAGTGTTTGTTGAACTAGTATCGCGCTAAAATACAAGGTCGGTGGTTACTGTTTGAATAACTCAAAAGGAATAAACAATAGCCAAGATCTGAGGCTATGTTTTCATAAACAAAAACAAGTTTGGAAAAATTTCAAAGATCGGTTTTTGAGGAGATCTGTGAAAACCAGTTCGGTTTTCTCAAAACTGGCATAGAAACCCATGGATTTGTTTTCATACAGATATAGTCTGAAGTGTTCTCTACAAACCTGGACGTGAGGTACACCTTGGAAATCCATGGCTCGGGAGCTATGGACGTTTTTCCTGAAGCCGTAAAAAAACTGTTGCATGCCTGGTCATACGTAGCGGATGAGTGATCAATCATTGATCTCTGCAATACGAAACAACCTCTCTTATGAAGAGCGCTCGATATGCAATGAAATAACCACAGTGCGATTTTTTTCTACTAGAGGATATCCAAAGTCGGTTTCAGCATTAAAACATAGTCATAGAGAATCGTATATATCAAGCTTATGTCTCTTTTAATTATCCGTCCAGTGTTATTATTGTTGTTTTCGTTCATCTTCCCTGGTCCCGATCAGCCCATGTTTAACATCCTACTTCATTTTATTTTTTCTTTACTCTTCATTTCTTCTTTGTCTTTTATTCTTTTTACTTCTTTCGCTTAGCATTTTGACATGAGTGTGTGGAATTTATACAGTCAAGCTTTATGGGAACATTCTGATCCTTAGTGCAAACGTCATTTCTGTTAATCTGCTCTTCTCATGTTTGACTGAATAAAATAAAAATATTTGCCTAACGTGGATTCACGTAAGAAGCAAAGACTTTCTAACAGATTTTACCATACTCAACAGCGAGGCTGCAGAAAGAAGTCAAAATACAGGAAAATTTCGAAAACCAGGATAAAACAGGATGTTCTCATACAACAACAGGAAAAACAGGACAAATACGAAGCCTGAGTGACTAAATCTTAAAGAACAATAAAGTATGTGAGGAATGTTAAGACAACGATGATTTTCGTACTCTTTCAATTAGTTCTGTTGTTGACTATAAACAAAGAACAACGAGAGAAAACATTTCTGTTTTGTTTTTTGTAATAAAATTTATTAAAATAAAAATGAATAGTAAAAAAATACCCTCATTCCAGATTAAGAAAGGAAAGAGTTAAAAAATACATTAAAAAAATAAGCGACATGTAATAAAAATAGAGGCGGATGAGCTTCAGCAACTATCTACCAGCACATTTGAATGATCTTTTTTCAATTGTAACTGAAAGATATTTGGTTGCTTAACCAAAATACGGTTGATTTTCCAAATGTTCATGGACTCGTAATATTTCCGTTCTAATATTTTGAATAGTTGGATTTTCCAGTGGAATATAGTATTTACTATTACCACCACTACTGACTGTTGATCTAAAAACAGAGAAACAAAACATTTTTTGTTATAACTAGACGAAAATGACAAGCATAAGGATCATACCTTTCATCATTATTATTATCGACAAATAAATCCCGTGCTTTCAGCGCAGCCAAATCAGCTTGATGAACAACAGATGGAATAGCTTCAGCGGCTGATGAGCGTGGATCAGTGAAACAAAGATAATGTGTTAACAGTTGTAATTCATCAATCGATAAACCAATTTCATTTAGTAAACAAACATACAGTGATGGATGATTCACACCCTTTTGAGCTTGGTGTGAATTGAGATAATAGGTCAATTGATATGGATGAACAATAGTGGTATCAATACAAGCTCCAATTGGAATATTACTGGTTTGTTGGGATGGTTCATCAAACATAAAAAATCGGGTGGGATGACGTTTTTTAACAACAATAAGGGTTAATAACGGTGTAAAATTTTCGTTAGCATAAGCAGCTAAAATATAGGAGCGGGTAAAAGTATAGTGTTAAATAGATAACTACGATCTTGTAATGAAATTTCATTACAAAGATTTTCAGTTTTCAAACTAAATCAGAGAAAAATTTCAGATCATTCGAAGGAGAGAAAAGTTTAATGAATTTTCGTATCTTTGTTTAGAATAGATTCAAATTAACGGATTTGATTTATCACAAATCAAACTAACTCAAACGAGTTTGATAACATTTTCTACTCACCTCTAAATGCATTTTTGATGGCCGGTATTTCAAAGTTAATAACTTTCGAATATTGACCATCATCCACACCTAAAACGCAAACAACTCTACCACTATACGAAGCTAAAAAGCTATGAATGTCACTTACCATCGCGAAAAAATACAATTTGAGTTGGCAATTGTCCCTGATTCAATTGACGATTATAATCTAATAACTCTACTACCATATCTTCAAGACGAACAATACATTCAATTGAACATTTGCCATCATCTGGCCATTGTTTACAAATACGACTGGCTGACATAGTACATAATTGATCACCAGAACCGACCAAAGCTAGAAGAGAAAGAAAAAAAAGTATGTGGAATACAGATCTTGATCTACCGTTTTGATTTTCTGATTTTCAGAAAAATATGAAAAAAATAAACTAACCTGCAATGCTCGGAAAACGTTCAGTGCAATTAGTTGGATGTATTACATCAGCACCAAAAAACATTATCCGTGGTGTTTGTTTGTTTATCGGTTGTTGATGTTGTTTTGTTAATGCTTGTTTTAAATTAACTTGAATATTAATACCATTCGTTTTGTAATTTATTTTACGTAATAAATTTTCACAATAATTATCGAATAATGCCACGGGCGTAGTCGCCATTCTGGTTTTTCGTTTACTTTGTTCAACCAGTTTATGAAACGAAACACATTGTGTCATCAGACCTAAGGACAACAAAAAAATCAAAAAATCAAAAAGAATATTAATTTCTCACATGTCCCCTCCCCATAAATGAAAATATGCCCCCAACTGCCTTTGCATGTGCATAATTATACAGACACCTAATACCCATGTGAAAAATAAGATATGTAGTAGAGAAAGCAGATCATGGTCGGACTATAGGAGTGCTTGGCCGATAGCGGCGACCTAATCCATTAGAACTTGCTCAACTTTTTTTTAAATTTAATTCTGATTTCGCCAGTTTGTAGCCCTACTAAAGTTGAGTACATTCTGAAATTCTTAGCCTATAGGAGTGTTTCATTGATTGGAAATAAATTTTTTATCTCGACCACATCACTCTATTCCACACGTTTATAACTTTTTGTATGATCGAATTAAATTTAAAAAAAGCTGAGCAAGCCCTAGTGCATTCAACTAATATTTTCGGTTTTTAAAAATCAGGTTTCCACACAGAGGAAAATGCATCAAAACATTTGTTTTCTACGAGGAAAACAGAACTTATCTCTGGAACTTTCTCCACGAAAGAGAGATGAATGGATCCACTTCTCGCTACGTACTATTGCGTACTATTATTATGAAGAGTTTCATACCACAATGTTTCCAGGAAGCAGTTCGGGATGGGCCTACGTAGATCGGGTTACTGAAAGACCGTTTTTAGAAACCATATGGGGAAAATCATTGTTAGATTCGTAATCAGCTACGATAACTACCCATAATCAAGTGCATTTCAAGAAGAAAACAACTAAACACTTTCAGTAGTTTTATCGTCAGTCGTTTATACCAATCACCCAATTTCTTACTAGTTTGCACCCGTAAAAAAATTTATTAGCCCTCTGTGCTCGTTAATATTTTCAGCGTACAGTGTTACACGCATTTACCGTTTTTCCACGCGTAGTTACGTGAAAAATGAAGCACTATTCAATTCTACACGCGTGCATATATCCGAAGATGCTGCTTATGAGTGATCAATACTACATAATAAGACCATGTTCTTAACTACATGCATGAAATTACATCCGTGTTCCCACAAGTGTTCACTCAAAAATTTCTCAAAAGGTGTCCTCGTATTACTTATGTGCAAATGAATACGAGTGGAAATATTTGTTCACCGGTAAACTTGATTAAAAAATCTTCATTTAAAACTAAACACACGTAAAATTATGAAAACAATTTTCTACCGCGTAGATATTCGTTACTACGTATCTACGGCTGTAAGTAATGAATTTTCCACTCGAATATCCAAAACCCAAAGAAAAGAATACTTGGGCCCTGTTTTCATACTAAACGCAATAAATAAAGGCTACCACTCATAGAAGGAAAAGCTAAGATTGCGAAACCAAAGAGTTTTTAAGGTTGCATGCTGAAAAGCAAATCATACTATACCGCTGAACGTATGTTAATTAATTTGTAACTCCATCAAAATGATCACAATGATCTAGGAATTTTCGAAGATATCTAGTTCGAACTACTCTCCGTATGTTCTAACATGAACACCAGAAAAAAACGTTTTCATTTTTCAAATGGGTTTCCCAGAAAAACTGCCATTCTTGGTTTTCTATCCGAGAATCACGTATATAATACGAAATAGTGTATATTAAGAAAAATTAAAGTCACTTTGATGGAGTTACAAATCTTTTGATATTGGTTCAAAATATGCTAAAATGGATTATCTTGCATTTGATCAATTTTTCACTAGATTTTGGAATTTTTTTTTTTCAAGAAACAAACATTGCTATGATGATCAGCATGATCGATTACCTATGTTTCATCTAATTTCTACGCTACCAAAAGTCACTAGATAGTAGTCCTGAGGCTCGCTCAAATTCTGATGCTTTCTTAAACGATGAAAAATGGGATGCTCACTTTGAAGAGGACACTCAGTATTTTTTACGCATGAAAAAAAAATGTCTAACGAAAAACTGGTTATACAAAGATCCTCTGGAAAGCCAATTTTTAGAATAGACTTTTAAATTGATTTTGCTCGTGTAAAGGGGTGCTTTCAAGTCTTGACTTTTACGCACAGCGAAAATCGCCGATCTAGATGTGTCGTTGTTCGAATACTATTGGAAAAAATAATCATACACATGCTTTTGAAGAAACCTAATTTTTTACAACCAGCTCTTCCTGACCGGATATAAAAAGACTTCTAAGAGAAAGAAATCAAATGTATCTCAAATACAACTTCTTTTACTCCGGATGAGAGTTTTTTTAGATAAGAGATATATGTATGCGTACCATGGGTAACCGTAGCACAATATTTCACACTAGCTTTAATATCACTTTCCAAAACACATATGATTACATCTGGATTCAATCGTTTTTGTTCAACAAAAAATTCTTCTATTTCATTTTGTGTATCATCCAGTTTCCATATTTTAAGTTGTGGGTGTGGCATTCCAAATTTTTTCAATATCTAAAATTATAAATAATCACAATCTAACATCAATTATGCATTCTTTCATACTTACTCCAAAAAAGCTATTAGTAAAATTTGTTAATAAATTTTTCTTAGCATCATTAAATTGTCCAAAATGTACCAGAGATAATTTTATTATTGGTTTAGGTTGAAATAAATGGCCATTTAATTGTATATTACCGAATCGAATTTCCGCTTGTTCACGTCTTTGTTGACTACCATTGGTGATTTGTGGCTTTGGTAATATACGTGTTTTAACTTTTGGCATTTCTTGATCATTTATTTGAAAACCAATTGCTTGACACAAATTATTTTGTTTATTGTTATAATTACATGTTTGAAGAGATGACATAATAGCTTTATAACGTTCTTCAGGATTAGGAATGGACTTTTTTGGTCGTTGTGCTTCAGTCATACGCCGTTGTTTACTATCAACCTGTAAGAAAAAGTCAAAAAAATAAATATGTACATTTTTTTTCAACAGAATGGAATCGATCAACTATGTTCCTATCATACCACATACACTTACTTCATGATCATATATTTGCCATGGTGTCAAACGACAAACTTCCAGTGGAAGAAACTTAGGATTCGTATATTCATTTAGAAAATAAACTTCTAAACATTTCAGTTGTGGATATTTTAATTTAATGCCTTTTTCTTCAGCATAGTACTGCGTCACATTTGGTCTTGTTAAATCGTCATCGAGGTAAATATTACCAGGTACATCACCAAAACGTTTTATCCAATATATTTGGGTATGGTTACTTTGTATAGTTGATACTTTTACACCATCCAACACATTCGCTAATTGTTTATAATCACTCGGTCGAAGTGTAATTGTACCTAAAACATAGAATAATCGTAATGGGATCAGATCAAACTAAGATAAACATAAAGAATAAACTTTATCGCAATTATTGGATTACTTTCTGGCTAATATGAGTCAATTTGACTGTAGTGCATAATACTTTAGACATGAATAAAATCATGCAAGTTCGTTAAAAAACTCACCTAAATAATTTTCTATAAACTCGAGCATATCGACTGTAGGATAAAATGTTGTTAATTTTGTTTGCAATATCAGCGAGATTCTTTCTTTAGCTAGATTTAACATTTGAACAAAGCCACGATATTCTTCAAAACCACCATCTAAGATTGATGGTTTCTGATTTGTAAAATAACAGGTATTATGTTCCACGTGGATTAAGTGATGTATGGATTTTTTTAATAAAGTTTCAATAATTCTTACAGCATCGAAGGGATACTGAGAGGTACGACCATTGATATAATCATAAATATCTTGTGTATTCCACATACCACTTTGTGCTTTAATATTGAAACGTAGTTGAACATTCTGTTTTGTTGTGATAATGACCGGTTCAAATCGTTCCGTACTATAAAGACATTTTCCTTCGTCGTACCATACATTCGTAGAAGGTAAACATTTTTCATTTAGTAATAGATAAAAAAATGTTTTACATTTTTCTCGACCTTTGACTTCATGCCATTGATCATTTTGTGGCTTACGGTTTGCTTGTTCAACACAAACATCATATTGATATAAATTTAAATTTTGTTTTAATTGACATGAAAAATGATTAACATAAATCATTTGTTCACTTTCTTTTATTATACCGGATTGTTCAGGACGTGGAGGTAATGAAAGTACAAAACCATGTGGTATATCAGGTATGGCCGATGTGACCGGTATGAAACGTCGTTGCTGTTTTCCATTGGGTCTGTCTGAAGTTACATCATCATCTCGTTGTCTTTCCGTGGAATTATTATTGTTTGATAGAAGAGGAGGGGTAGACAATGCACAAGCCATTGTGAATAATAATACCTAGAGAAACAAAACAAGTCAGTTCGATGCTGTTTGCTGTATAAAGAGAGAGATTATGCAAACAGAGTATGAGTATATATATATAGCTGTTCGTGCTAACAGCTCGTTCGAAGGAACCATGTCTTTAAAAAACATTTGACTACGAATGTATCCGAGAACGACGACTGTCAACAAACGATAGCAGAAAAATAACTATGCTCTTAAAACAAGATGGGCACCTATCTCTTTATGTTCCGTCACTTGTACAGTTATTAATTAATAAATACAGGTTAAGCTAGCAAAAAAATTCGACTCACTTGATTCTGTGTTTCCTTTGACAGATTAAATTTTTTGAATTCTCTGAAATGGTAGTTATGTTTCCTGATGCCATCGCTTTATACGTTTATATAGAAATCTGAACTGGGTTTTTTCCCACAATAAACGGGTATTTTAGCTTAAAAATATAGGAATGTCATTCTGGTATACACCCATAAGACAATGAGTCATCCATCAATGGAAGAGAATGGAGAATCTGTTGCACCAATGAGATTAGTAAGTCGTTTATGCACTCTTACTGCATAATACAGATTCTGTCGTAATGAAGGATTAGTAGGGATAAATAAGACAACAAAAGGATAACCAGTCAATGAGTTCCTGGACATTGGACGGCTATAGATAGAACTTTAAGGGTTGTTTCCCCCTAGCCGTCAAATTTTCCCATCAAAAATGGCGGCCGTTACAAATATAAAAAAGGAAAGAACAAATTTGCTTGATCAATTTTTTGAAATCAGTTCGTAGAAAAATCTATGAATCAAAAAAGAAAAATCGGTTTGCAACTGAAAGGTTGACTATGTCTGCCGCTAATTTATCATCTTTTCTCGTTAGTTTGTATCATTTGTGAGAAAATATAGCAATACCCGTTTTTTTCTTTTCTTTTAAGAATTTCTATTTCATAGATGTTATCATCATCAAAAAAAAGCAAAAAGAAGATTTATGGTACGAGGACTGACGACTAAGTGCATCCGCTATAGTGTCACTGCAACATATAGGATATTCAAAATTTGAACTCATTCGAAATTCATTGGATGAAAATTTTAGATTTAAGTTAGCTTCAAATAACATTTCATTTTCCCATATTTTTTTGTTATGCTCAAGAGCAGCAACTGTGATCTCCGATGAGGGCGCCGCACGATGAATCCCCAGGACAGTCTGTTAGTGGCGCCCTCATCGGAGATCTCAGTTGCTGCGCTTGAGCATAACAAAAAAATATGGGAAAATGAAATGTTATTTTTTGAAGCTAATTTAAATCTAAAATTTTCATCCAATGAATTCCAGTTCGAATTTTGAATATCCTCTATGTTTTAGTGACACTATAGCGGATGGACTTAGTCATCAGTCCTCATACCATTATCTCAGTAGCTGAGTTCTTCAACCAACGAGAAAAGATGATAAGTTAGCAGCAGACGTAGTCAGTCAACCTTACAATTGCAAACCAATTTCTCTGTTTTAATTGATAGATTTTTCTACGAACTGGATTTCAAAAAATTGATCAAGCAAATTTGTTCTTTCCTTTTTTATATTGGTAGTTCTACAGATCGATCACACCCCTACCTAACAAGTGTATATTATATTATTATAAGGTTTGTTTCGGAGTTTTGCTAGAAAAGGGGTGAATATCCAGATCTGAGTAACCATTGGTCCGATAAAAAAACTAAGTATCCCAGTACCAGTGGCGGCGGAACGTTTTCAGATCAGGTAAGGCTCAGTATAAGGTTATTGGTTACTCCTCAAAACTTTTATATATTATACGTTGACATAGACTAAAATAAGTTCAGTTAATAAGTCGCTTTAGATTATTCAATTACTTTGGTATTGTGAAAAACACTGTTCTAGTTCGCTCTATTCTTTATCGCAAGAATTTGTGAATCTTTACCAAGTATAAAAATTTCATTACAAAAAAATCATTTATTTCAAATTAAACTATTGAACCAAAAAAGGCTTGTCTACTGCTATTCGACGCGATAAATTTTGACATTATTTGATATGGATCAATTTCATCAAGCTTTTCTTTATAAATATTTGCTAATAAACAATGATCAAGTCGTGACTGTGTCATAGAATTTCGAAGCACAGTTTTTAATCTATTTAATGTACTAAATGCAT